AAACAATTTCCGAACATCTTTCGAAACATGGACTATTTTTAAAATTTGTGGTTTTCTTTTTTGGGGGGTTTTGTTTGTCCCTCTTTCCTTTTCCTTTTTATATTTTATTTTGAGATTAATTATATTTAAAAAAATCATGAACTATTTTTAAATCGTGAACCTTTTCTTAAATCCATGAACTTTTCAAATTCGGAAATATTATTTTAATATTGTGAACTTTGTTTTCAAATTTGTGAACGTTTTACACATCCAAGACTATTTTCAACTTTATGAATGTTTTCCAATGCATGTTTTTTTTCAAATTCGTGAACATCTGTTTCTAAAATTTATGATTTTTTTCAAATCCATGAATGCTTGGGCAGGCCAACAGGCACACGACAACAGAGATGCCATTGCCTAGTTGGTCTAAAGGCTAAGATTTTTTTTTCTATAGGTGAATGACCCCAACTTCTTGCAACAGCCTGACACAGATATATGAAACATCCATGCCAGGTTTGAACAACTTCCGACATTGTTCGCACGTTGTGACACGTCTGCCCATTTATCAGCCCTTTTCACCGAGAAAACTCTAGAAATGCAAAACTTGTTAAAAATACAAACAACTTGGCACGATGCTTTGAATTTATCATAGAAGCTAGTGGGAAAAAAATTGGAATGCATCTAAAGTAAAAATAGTAGGAAGGCTCGAGCTTGCCCATTTTTGAATTTAGTATTGCTCACATTAAGGCTTATCCTTGACAGATTACCAAACTTAGATGTTTAAGTTGGACAAATAGCACAATGGGTATCATCATTTAGCCTACAATTTTGCATCTTCTCCTGCAATTTCAGTGTGCGAGTAGTTTCATCTCCAAATTATTCTACAAACTATTTAGGGACCGGAGATATTATTCAGCTCTTAAAGCAGGTGAATAGAACTTTCAACAAACCTTTCTTTGTTGATGTTGTTATTCTTGCATGCTGGCACATTTCGTAACAACGAAACGGTTTCATTGTCAACTCTTAAGGACTAAGGTTTCTTAAGTAGTTATCATCTAAATATTAGTTGGTAATAAACTTTTGTGAATGGCGAAGTTATGAAGATACATGCCCCCTGTTGTCATCATTTAATTATTTTGAAGTAGTCATCATCTAAATATTTGTTTTTAAATTTTATTCACCATTTTAAACACAAATCCAACTGGGGGGGGGGGGGTTGCACTTCCCTTTTTTTATCATCGCTATGCTGAGTGCAACACTGCACCTAATTTTGAAATATTTAATGGAAAACATGTTGTATTTGATTTGGTGCCATCGCTCTATGTAGTTGTTACAAAGATGTGATGTTGGATAATATTAAAACTTATTGCTGGGAACTTGTGAAACTTCAAATTGCAGGCGGGAGGCCACAAAATAATTGTTGGTCTGAGACATGCATTGTGCAAGAAGACGAGACAAGATGATATAGATATGATTATGCATCAAATATTATATCTACAACATGTTGATTGCTTTCCCATCTTTGGGGTGCTATTGTTGTGTTAGGACTTTCATATGAATCTCTGATTCTTTTTTCCTGGTTTCTGCATGGAGTCGGGTCATGCGAGTTCATCCAACTGTTCATGTACAACTACGTGCCGCATTGCAATTTGCATGTAACCTTGCTTCAGGAGAGGAGAATTGGGTGATGAACATGCTATCAACCTGGTTACGAACTATTATGTCTATTCCTAAATAGATAGCATATTAGAAAGCATGCACTCTAAATTTGGCTCATGCAATAAAAAGAGTATTCATATTGTTTTCTTGAGTGAAGAAGGTATTCAAACTGTTTGGGTGAAATGTACATGAAAGATATATTCATTTATGAAGAATGATATTTCAAATTATGTATGCCAAGAATTAGGTACTATACACTTCGTGTAAAATTTAAAATTTTCAATAGAGTTAACCTATTATTTTTAGGGAAGATTATCCTACATATGACTACATGTGTTAGCCGAGATGTGCAACGCAAGCTTACTAGTGTGACAAAAGTCCGTGGAATTGAAAGTTCATCGGTTTGAAAAAAGGTTAAGAGTTTGACAAAAATTTCACAAATTTGGAAAAAAAGTTTGCAAAATAAAAAGAGTTCACAATTTTGAAAAAACAAAGTTCACAAATTTGATAAAAGTTTCTGAAATTCGAAAAAGTTCATCGACTTGCAAAAAGGTTAAAGAATTTTTTACTTAAAAAAATTGAATTTTTTTCATGAAATTGATAAAAGTTTGCGATGTTGAAAAATATTCATTCATATGAAAAAAGATCACAAATTCAAAAGATAAGTTCACAACTGGGCGCCCTGAATTTGCGTGGTTCATCTTCCAGGACAGAGATCATCTTCGTAGCATGTGTTACCTCTGCGGCCCTCTAAACCCTAAGGGAGTACTGTACTGAACCAAAACAGGTGCCCGATGGCTGGTGGTGCCTGGTGGTTGGTCGGTCCGGCAAGGGAACGAATGGGGGCAGCTGATAAACAGTTCGTGGACGGACAATAAGACAACTGCTTTTCAGTCACCGACTCCAGTGCACTGCCAAGCACTCGAGTTACGTGATCGCGCCTCTTTGTGGATGATAATTCAGTATTCATGAGTCAATCAATATGTCGACTGCTCGGCGTGATCTCTTTGATTGTCCTGCCGTGGACTGTGGACACAGTAGTTGATTCCATGTATGTACGGACTACGGATGACGGGTCTGTAAAAACAGGTTTGTCATGTGTGTTGGTCTGCAGCAGTCAGGCTGTAAGCTCTTCTTAACTGTATGATTCACCATAGCTGAAGCTCTCTTTATTTCGCATCAACGATAATTAACTTGGGAGCTTCGTCCTATTTAACCCTATACTCCCTCTGTTCCTGTTTACCTGTCGCGTTTTGAATTTCGTAGGATTTGCTGCATACTCCACTACAAGTTTCCATGCACGAGAACACGCCGACTGCAAAATGAAAAACGAGTTTCATTAGTACTGAACGGAGCCGATGTGCAGTGGCCAGCGGATGCGAAAATGGGCTGGGCCTAACGCCGTACTACCAGCCCATTAAACCGTAAGGCCCTTTTCCGGAGCTTTCCTCGTCACGGGTTAGCTTTCGGTTCTCCAACAAACAGGAGCGCAGCCCCCACCTGCTGCCAATCACGATCATGAGCGTAGCTATTTTGGCAATCTGCGCCATGGTTTAGGTCACCGGCCACTACGGAGAACAATAAACAAGTGTGGTGGCAGCGCCAGTACGTACCACGTAAGCGGACTCCACAGACTCCACCGCGATCGCTCTGACGTGATCCATGCACTGACGCGTCTCGGTTAATTAACTAGCCCCGCCCGTATTGTGACCGCATGCCTCCCCAACGACCAGCAGAATGGTCACCTTCCATTAACAATCGCAGTACGTAGTGAATAAACTATACTGCCATGCCATGATGCGTCCTCACCCCAGGAAAAAATCAAAACCACCATGATGATGTGAACACCGTACCGTTTAGAAATGCAAGATCGCCTCTCCCAACAAAAGTGGACAAATTATTGGCGATGGGCGGAGCATTAGTTAACGGGGGTAGGTTTTGGTGGTATCCTGCCGTGCATCCTGGTCACCTTTGTACGCAGCACCACTAGTTAATCTCCCCGGTGGTACCACCGAGCAGAGCTAGCGTTAAGAAATTGCGATCATAGGTAGCACGGCACGGACCTGACCTAGACCTAGTGTGGCATCCATAGCAGCTGAGGTCCGGGAAGAGTAGAATAACGAAAAGTTGACTCCAATTAGTTGGTTCCCCGGATTCCAGCCAGCCCGCGGCTCACGCTGGGGGGACACACTTCACCCGCACAGGTGGACGGACTCGGTGATGCCATGGTAAACCGCACCATCGCATTTCTTTATGCCTCGGTGATCTCGTCTAGTTCGGTAGCTAGTTTCATCGTAGGATTTGCTTTAGAAATTGTGGTGGGACTCCAACGTTTCCTACGGCAGTAGAGTAGTTCATATAGATGCTGGCTGAGAAAAGGTGAATGAATTGCTCGCGGGAATATGCACTTCCCGTTGTGCTTGTCGGGCGTCGCGAAGAAGATGCCGGGAAACCAGGCAAGAAATCTTGCACACGATCTATGGGATCGATTGCATTCGTTACAATATTAGTGGGGGCATCCGATCCTACGCATCTCGGGTGACTTTTAAAAGAAGCTAGACCGGCATAGTTTATGCCGCTGAGTGACTCCATTGGCCGTCCAATTTTGATTCGTCTCGGAGTATTGGGATACTTGATTACAGAACTAATCTTTCATAGTGAATCGAGATCGCCTTGGTCCGCAAGTATGCGCACTAAAATATGTCTCACGTCGCCATCCTTGGCGATGCGATGACACTGTCAAATCCACTCCGGAATCGGCGCTGCTACAGAAACAGTGAGCAAGAAGCTCTGAACCTTCGATGCATCACCACTCTGAACTCTGAACCTGACTATTATGTTCGGTTTTTCCTACATGCTAGTAGTATCATGCAGCCACACTTTCTCTGTCTCGTTGCACTTCCATTCAGGGTTCAGGAACGTGTACAAGAAAACACATATATTGATCAAAGTAACAACAAGATTTACATCTAGAGCGTTTGGTACGGAAAATCAATCCCATTCCACAAAAGCAGAACAAACAGCCAAGTTAATCTGGGGCGAGAAAGATGGAGAGGGAGCCCATGCATTGCATTGCATGCAACAATGGCTCGCACTCTCGTGGCTCTAAAGTTCTAACCTCGATCGGGACACACTATTTGTGAAAAAACCTCCATGTCCAGCCGCCCGTGGAACAACGGGACCCTCGATCAGGCGTGTACGTACGTACACCACTAGTATATGCAACCGGTCCCTAAACCCGTATGCTGGCGCGTGTAGTCGTAGACGTATGAGTACGTGTACGTATATGTCCGTCGTCCTGTACTGTACGTACGTGTGCCAGACTGAGGTCGCCGAAGATCGGGTGCGGTTTGATGGGAGCGTCACACGCGCAACGCGGGGCTCCTCGCGGCGAACCCGGCGTCGGCCCACGGGGCGGAGCCCACCATGGCCGTCCGCGGCTCCGGCGGCGGCTGATGCGGCTGGTGCTGGTGCTGGTGCTGACGGTGATGATGATGGTGGTGGTGGTGGTGGTGGTGGTGCCGGTGCTGCTCCTTCCGCGCCGCCGACACCGCGTGCGCCGCCGCGTGCTTCTTCCGCCGGTGCCTCGCCCTGTCCACCTCGATCTGCTGATGCCTGCACTCCTCGCTGCAGAACGGCGTGTCACCCCTGCACAACACACGTACGTAGTCACGTATCCAGAGTCCCAGACAAGATGGTCGCATAATCGCATTGCAGCTGGGACTGAACGCCTGGCCGATTGACGGACCTGTACATGAAGATGTCGCCGGAGAGGGACTTGCCGCAGAGGGAGCACTCCTCGAGGTAGTGGTGGCCGTGGCCGTCCGCCTCGTGGACGTAGTACAAGGGCGATGACGGCGGCTTCATCGTGCTCATGGCGCCGGCCCCCTTCATCATGCTGCCTGCGGCGGCGAACAGCCTTAGAATTGGGAGCAATGCCGCCTTGACATGGCACTAAATGTCAAGGAGGCTCGGCTGGCTTGCCGTCTTCCGGGGGGTGTGCACAAATAGGGCACGGCCCAGCTCCATTTTTAGCCTCCGACGAACGTTGAGAGGCTGCTAATTCACACCGGAGGAGAGCAGTGCCATGAATAGAAGCCAAAGGCAAGGAACCGGAGCTTTACATTTTTTTGTTTTTGGTCTGATGGAAACGGTCCTGAACGATCGATTCTGCACCAAGAACCACTCTCTGCATCGACCTTTGCACATGGTAAATCGCAGAGAAATGAATCGGATAATACTTCTCCATTGGTACAGTATTCTTACTCTTAACAGCCATTTGCTGTTTAGATTGTACAAGATGCTTCATAACTTGGGTTCGATAAACATGATCCATCATCCATGTGTTTACCACTGTATCCAGCGGACATGTGCTGAAATAGTCTGCACCCATTGACGCACTGCACTGGACTGAATACGGTCTTGCTTGGACCAATTCAGATGCAATATGATAGCAAGGAAATGACAGCACCTCCCATATTATTTGTTTTGTTTTCCTGCGAAGTTGCACCTAAATTATGCAACCCGTGTACATATGTCATCGGGGGTCATTGTCTTAACAGCGCGGAATGAGCACATCCCTCCCGCCCCCGTGGGAGAAAAAAGAGAGCACCAGCTCTTGTCGCCTTCGCAGGCGTCCTTTTAGCTCAGAGCACGACAAGAGCGTCCGTCGTCGTCGAAAGCGGCCCGCCATTAAAACCATTGTAAGCAAGCACCCGGTTTACCGTTCAAATCTCTCGTCTTCGCCGTCGTCGTCCTCATCCTCCTCCTTGAAGAAAACAACACTCCAGGCCAGTCCAACGCCGAGACATTAACCTCTGGCACAGTGACACGCCGTAGCATCTGGTTCACGGCGACCAACGCCGAGACATTAACCGGTGCCACAGCAACACGCCGTGATAGAATCTCGTCCACCGTAACCAACAGCTGCTAGAACGGTCATGGAACTTTTCTAGCGTCACATGGCGGCG